CAAAAGAAGCCAAGCAGGACCCAGGGCACAGTGCTCAGTGTTTACCACAGAGAGGCGCCCTTCTGCACAGGAGCATGGGGGTCCACGGGAGGGCAGGCAGTGGCTGCCATTCACAGGCGTCAGTGGTGGCCTCGGTGGGCATGGAGGTGGGCTTGGTGGTGGGCTTGGTGGTAGAGGTGTCGGTGGAGGCGATGGTGGTGGAGGCCCACGTGGTGCGTGTGAGACACGTGGCCAGGATGACGGAAACAGTGAGCGTGTCCCGGGTGGCCCCGGCCCGGGAGGAGCCAAGGTTGGGCCCACCGGACTCGGTTTCTCCTCGCGGCCGGGCGGTTCCTCTCCACGTCATGGTCCCGCTGTCCGTGGTACAGGCAGGTGGCCAGCAGCAGCACCAACAGCAGAAGAGCCACGGCAATGCCTGTGATCAAGCCCGTGAGGGTCGTGCTTCCCAGGAGGCCTAGCATCTGGAAGCTGGACAGTCCTTCCTCTCGGCAGCTCCCTGCTGCTGCCTCCCCTTCGGCGGCCTCTACTCAGCCCTCACACTCACTGGACTTTGTTGCCTCAGCTCCTGCGGGCTGGAGAGCAGCCAGGGAATGTGGGTGCAGCCTCTTTGGGCTGGAGCTGCCCGCCAAGTAAGAGGCCAGGCGACTGTTAACTCTGGGGAGGTCCATGGGGAGGCTGGGTGGGGACAGAGGAACTGTCAGGAGGGGCTGTGGAAGGAAGAACCCTGAGGCTGAAGACAAGAGGTCCCGGCCCCCCCATCCCTGTCACCTGGCCAAACAACCAAACCGGCGCCTTCCCCTCCCTGGCCTCCGCTCCCTCCTCTTTTAGACAGGACAGCATAGCAAGTAAGAACATAGGTTCTGGAACAACACAACGCACTAGTTCTATGACTATACACAAGTTACTTGACCTCTTTGTGCCTCCGTTTCCTCATCTGTAAAATGGCTAATAAGAGTAACTTTCTGGGGCACCTGAGCGGCTCGGTCGGTTGAGGCTCTTGCCTTTGGCCCAGGTCATGATCCCAGGGTCATGGGATTGAGCCCCGAGTCAGGCTCTGTGCTGAGTGTGGAGTCTGCTTGAGATTCTCTCTCCCTCTGCCCCTCTCTCCTGCTTATGTTCTCTCGCACTCTCTCTCTCTCTCTCTCAAATTAAAAAGAAAAAAAGAGTACCTTCCCTCATACATATGATCTTCTAAGGATTTGAGCAGTTAAGATTATAAAGCACTTAAACCAGTCCCTGACACATGTTTGCCATCAATATTGCAGTGGAGTTTGGGCTGGGGAGACCTCAGGATTTGAGCGCCTCTGGCTGTCTGTCCTGCTGCCGGAGTCCTCCAGGACAGGGGCGGGCGCTGTGCAATGAATTGTCCTGTACTTCCAGAGCTCAGTGAGGCACTGCGGGCAGATTCATCATTGAGACAGCCAGACGCCGTCTCTGGGTCCTCGGTGCCCACTCTGGGAGTTACCCGTGCTGCAGGAGGCAGGGAGGGGGCTACTGAGCTCAGAGAGGCCAGGCGCCATCCCAGCCTCCTGGTTCCCCATTCAACAGTCTTGACTGGCCATAAATGGCAGGCTTCTGGCTCCGTCCCATACCTTCTGAGCAGCAGAAGTGACATACCATTCCTTACTGGTGGAGAATTTACAGAGCAGGCCAGACCTGAACAGCCGCAGACTCCCCTACCCCTCCTGGTCCCAAATCCCCTCTGTTCAGCCTAAACAAGTACTGTCCATTTGGCTCACGTGCCTCAGGGCTGGGCACCTGCTATCTCCCTGGGGAGCCCTTTCTGCTGTGGGTTTGTCAAGCTGTCCTCAAAGCTCCTTTTCACATGCGGCTGTCTCACTCTATGAGACCACAGATGTCCAGGGACCCTCCACAGTGAGCACCCCACAGTTTCTATCCTTCCCTGCTGTGTGCTCATCTCTCTACCAGCTGGAGGAGTGTTTTCAGCAGCCAGCCTCTGTGTGACCTTACGCAAGCCCGTCCCCTGACCCAGCCTGGTTCCTCTTCTGGAAAAGTTCCAAGGCAAAAGGTGACCTCCGGGGACTTTTCCTCTCAGACCTCAATGAGATGAGCTCTCTCAGGGAGGCCTCAAACCCTTAGTGAAAACCCTCTCTGGATGAAAACGTCAAACATTCCCTTCAACCAAATTGGGCTCAGGGGGCAGCAGGTCTAATGAGTCCTGGGGCTTTTGCCCTCAGACTGAAAGCCAATTCAACTTTTAATGATGCTGGAGTGAGAGCTCCTTCCTATGGCTTCCAGGGCCCTGGGGGCCCAGCTGCCTTCCCTCGGGGCCTATTAAGGAAGGAAGTCTGCTGGAAGGAGGAGGAGGAAGACAACAGAACTTTCTCCTTCTTGAAGGAGATTCCCACTCCACACCAGCCACGGATGGGGCAGGACCCTGCAAACTGCAGACATGCAGAGCTTCAGTCAGCACAAAGCACTCTTGGAATCACCCAGACCCAGCCCTCACTGAGAGTTAGAGAAATTGAGGCCAGAGAAGGGAAGGGACTTGCTTAAGTTTTCCCAGCTTTGTGGGCTATTCTGTACAGCAGGTAATCAAGACAGCACTATTCCTAGAGTGAGGGGGGCATCCAGAGTGAGAGTCTGAGATCAGCTGGTGATCTTCTACAGAGATAACCGGGAAAGGGCTGTACAGATGTGAATGAATCTGAACTCCCCACCTCTCTATCTCTGTCTCTCTTTCTCTCTCTCCCTCCCTCCCTCCCTCCCTCACTCTCTCACACACACACACGTGACATTTGTTTTCTTAAGTGCAGGGTCACTTCCCATCTGGACAGAAGATAGGATCCCAGAGTGGGTGTTTGATTAGATGCTTTGAGCACTCGGGGGAAGGTATAGAGACCACAGTCCTCTGGGACTGCAGAAGTGACTGAGACCTTCTTGGAGTCCCAACTGAACACAAGGGTTTGCAGGGCTGATGACTTTAGAGGAACGTGTGACTGTGTCAGAAAAGCTCTTGTGTAGCACTGTGGTTGTATTTCTCTCATGGGGTTTGGTCTTCTGCACCCCGCACAAGCTACCTTCCTAGCTGAGGGACTGGAGTTTCAGACTATGCAGCTGAAAGATCAGCCTTTTGGAGTTCCTATCATTTAGCTTCATGCCCATTCTTTCCAGAGTGCACAGATTTATGCATTCACTCACATATCTGTGCACCCTTGTAAATTGCTCTGTAGGTAAACTCATGCACCGAGAATTGTGTGTGTACACATACTCAGGCACATATTCATGCACATATGCATGAGTGCATACAAGTTCCATACAAGTTCACAAACTCCTGCGTGTACTAGATACAAGTGGTTCTTGGCTGCCCCAAGAGAGCAACCATTGTTTTCAGCGTTTGGTAGCACCACCTAGTGGTGAAACTGTAAAAAATCAGTTTTGTATTCTGATCTTTGTTTATAGATCATAATTTGAATCCATTTACTTAACTCCTCTCTGTTCCAGATTCTGGTCTGGAAATTTTAAGGAATTTCCACAAGATATAGTACAAATGAAACCATATTGATGGAGGCACTGACTAAGGAAGGGTGTCTCTGGGAGGTAATGAAGGGTATGCCCCAGCAGAGCCTCCCCTAAGACCTATGATAGACAGCCAAGACTAGGAATGAGGGTGAGGTGGACACTGGCAAAAAACAAGTTGAGTGACTTTAGGTATTGCACGGGTGGCTGCTCTCAGAAGAAAGGCCAAGACTCAGCTCATCTTTTGTTCTGCACAAAAAGCAGGGATATTGGCCAGCACGTTCCTAACTTGGCTTGCTCATGCCAGTTAGAGAAGGGAGATACTCCTCTGCCTAACCGTGGGTGGCCTTAGTAAATATTGAAAAGAAGTTGCCAAGAACAGCAGCAAACCTCTCTCCTCTTCTCAGGAGCTCTCCCTGCCCTAATCATGGCCAAGTAGACCACCCCCAACCCCAATCTAAAAAACTAAATCATAAACAACCAGGCTCTTTTTTCTTCTTTCTCCATTTGCCTTACACCAACATGCTTGAAAATAAGCTACAGAATTTTTATAGAACTATTTCAATTACAATACCAAACAAACATCAGTCTAGGTCCCTCTTTAAAGCAAGCAAATAGGGTCGCCTGGGTGACTCAGTCAGTCAAGCATCCGACTCTTGATTTTGGCTCAGGTCATGATCTCACAGTTTGTGGGGATCAAGCCCTATGTCTCACTAATAGTGCAGAGCCTGCTTGGGATTCTCTCTCTTCCTCTCTCTCTGCCCCTGCCCCACTCACATGTATGCACACTCTCTCTCTCTCAAAATAAATAAACTTTAAAAATAAATGAATAAACAAAGTGAGCAAATAGAGAAAAATTGCTAGATATATAAAAAAAGATACCAAGTATTGTACCTTATTACCAAGGTTACTAGAATCTAAAAAACGGAGAAATAGTAAAATCCCAAAATGTATATTCTAAATAATATTCAAAAGTCAATCCACACATAAACTTGGGAAAATACTCAAAGCAGGAAATTTACTCTCAGATTAAAAATCAAATCAGGAAAGATTGCTTTGAGAACCATCCTCATAAGTCTCGGGGGGAAAAAAGGAATAAAGAGAGAAAGAGAGGGAAGAAATGGCCAGGAAATCAAATAAGCTTATATAGCAGACATTCTAGAAGTAGAGAACAGAGCCCATGGAGAAATGATCATTAAAGAAATAAAGAAGGGCACCTGGGTGGCTCAGTTGGTTAAGCATCCAACTCTTGATTTTGGCTCAGGTCATGTTCTCACAGTTCATGAGTATGAGCCCTGCGTCGAACTCTGTGCTGACAGTGCAGAGCCTTCTTGGGATTCTCTCTCTCTCCCTCTCTCTCCGTCCCTCCCCCCATCCCCTCTCAAGATAAATAAACTTAAAAAAAACTTCCCTGAGCTGAAGAATTCCATCTTTAGATGAAAAGTCACCCTGAGTACTAGGCAGACTATTTGAAGAAGCCAGAGCAAGCCATCTAGGTACACCCAGGTGAAATTTTTACATTAAAAATGTGATGTAAAAAATATATATAAAGGAACTCAAATGTTACAGTCATTATGTAAATAGTCTGGCAGTTTCTTACAAAACTAAACACATGCTACCATATGATCCAGCAATCACACCTCTTGGTATTAACACAAAGTAATTTAAAACTTATGTTCACACAAAACCTGCATACAGATGTTTATAGCAGCTTTATTCTTTTTTTGTGTATATTTATTTTCGAGAGAGAGCACAAGCAGGTGGAGGGGCAGAGAGAGAGATGGAGACACAGAATCTGAAGGCGGCTGCAGGCTCTGGGACAGCTCAGAGCCCGACACAGGACTCAAACCCACAAACTATAAGATCATGATCTGATCCGAAGTTGGATGCTTGGCTGACTGAGCCACCCGGGCACCCCAGCAACTTTATTCTTAATTGCCAAAACTTAGAAGCAACCAAGATGTCCTTCAGTAGGTGAATG